TTTCATTTTATTTCGAAATAAATTTTTTCTTATTTAATTGCTCGCAATTTATAAGTTTTCGCTTCTCTCTTTCTTAAAATTCATAATAAAAGTATTTTTAATATCTGAATATTCAGTGCAGTGAATAAATTAATTAATAAACTTGTCAATAAGAGCATGCCAGCCATGACAGTTATACTTTGATACCAATTCAGGTATCAAAAAATGATCCCATATTCTTGATCATTTTTTGAAAATGATCCAAATATTTGGATCAATATTTGATATACCTTATGTCGAATCAAACACTGAGAAAAATGTTTAGTATCATCTACCAAAGTTTGGTTCTCTCTACCAAATTTTTTATTTGATATATGTGCAACTAATCCGTTTGGTTCGGGCTACTAAATTTTTTCGTTGAATCATTTTGTTCGGTCTACCAAATTTTTTGTTTTGCACAACTAACTTATTGTTTTTAAGCAAACAAAAAATTTAGTTAAATGAAAATTTTTTTTTTGTTTTCTCAACCAACTTATTTTTTTGTTTCACCCTTTTCTCTTTATATAACCTACCTATGCCTACTTAAATTAATTTCTATCGCGGAAAAAACCTAACACTGCTGGGGCTCGAACCCTCAGACTACGCAACGCTAGTCGAGAACGCTGACCAATACTTTACGAATCCTACTAACAATTTGAGATTAAATCATTTTCACAATGTATAAAAGCTGGAAAAAAACTTTCGTTCTTGTAACAAGTTTTATTTATTTATTTTCACTACACAAACTTTTTTTTTTAAAAAATGTCTGAAAAACATAAAAACTTCAACACTGAAACTTCACGACGCGAACGACATATGGTTAATGTTGACATCCCGTGAATGGAAAGCGACGCCATATTTACGAGAAGAGCGCGTGCGCAATACAGCATGTCAGCTATTTAGTACTGGGAACCAAACTATTTAGTTCGTAAACATGAAAGCTTCAAATATATTTTTTGGTAGAGCCAACTAAACTTCCCGATTTATTGCCACTTTCTATTCTGTTGTGACAACCATATTTTAGTAACGCCAACTAAAAAACCTCAACTAAATTATTTTCTTATTATTACGAAATTATTTTTCTCAGTGAAACGTTGCATGAGTTGATCTTAATTCTTGTATCAATTTGTTACACACAAGAAAACTGTGTTGGCAAAACGAAACTTTTTTTTCAGTATAGAGAAAAGTTAATATTTAAAAAAAAAATTTTAAATTGACATGTAAAAATTTAAAAAAAGCGATTTTTATTAGATCAAAAGGTATTGAATATTATAGAGTCCATATAGAGTCTAAGGAAAGGTTTATATGTATGAAAATTCAGTACAGAAGTATAAAGATCATTAATGAAGATAAAAGTTGAACATTATAAAATAAATGCTAGAATGGATTCGAGATGTTTGCCACTTAAATTGGAATTTTGGCATCGAGGCTGTAAATCGTATAAAGAATGTTTCGAGTCTCGATTTAAGGCGATCTTCTCTTTTCAGTGTGTGTTTCAATTGATTTACAGTAGAGGGGAAATCTTTTAATCGTGTCGAGGCCAGTAGTTCGCAGGGGTACGAAATCGGATGGTCATCTTGGAGAGGAAATAAGTCGACGATGTGCCTTCGTCAGTGAAAGAGAGAGAGAGAGAGAGAGAGAAAGAGAGCCCTTTGGAATCCTTGGTTGGAGTTACCATCGCCGGCATCTGTCCGATCGTAGCCAGTCAGGCAGACAGACAGACAGACAAGGGCAAGGAAGGAATTTAATCGGGCGCAAAAGAGGAGAACGAAGAAGATCGGAAGGGAGTTTGAGTGACAGGGTCGGAGGTCAAGGGCCACACGCGGATCCTTCAGTGTCCCTTTCAATAATATTCATATTTTTTACTTATATATATATATATATATATGAAATCACTCGATTTTTCTCGATATATATATATATATTTTTTTTCTTTTGAAAAATATTGGAGAAAGAAATGCCCAGTTTTTCCCCTTTTGAAAATCAATTGAACTACTTCATCTTCTTCTTTAAGAATCGATTCTTATATTTTCCACATTTTTCATTCAATTTCTTCGTTTTCTTTCTTCACTTTTTTTTGTGTGACAAATATATTATAGACATTGTATATGAATATTCCCTGAATAGAATTTTCATTGAATATAATTTTTATTTTAAAAAAAAAAAATTTATTCAATCGATATTTTCATTTTGTATCAATAATTTTTATTTAACTGAAATAGGTACATGATCTATTTTACAGAAATTCTTTTAAATATTAAAAATTTAAAAATATTTTTAAAATAAGTTCAAAATATATATATATATATACATATTTTGAATGAAAATTATCGGGAATTTGATGAATGAAAATTTGTTTAATTATAAATTTCATTAAATACAATGTCGGGTTAAAAATTTATCGCTAATGAAAATTTATGTTTAAATAAATTTTGATTAGAAATTCGATCATATATTAGTTTTTTATTTTATAAAAAACATATATAGCATATAAATACTGAAAATTCGGATTAATGATTTTTATGGAATATTCATATCTCAATAAATAGAATTTGTTACATCAAGATATAGAAACCTTTTTTAAAATTCATATTATATATATACATGCATTTTTTTTTATCTTGAGATATTTTGGCTTAATTTAGCCACTGAAGCATGTTCGCGCAGGAAACATGTCAGACTCAGTCGTGATATAAAAAGAGATTTAGTCTATCTCGAGAAAGAATCTCAATGTGCACAATATATATATATATATATTTTTTTTAAACGTAATACGTATGCGGAATGTTTATTTAATCTAATGAACAAATTATCCTGAATGAGGGAGATAAATTGATCCGTATGGTGCGTTCTTTCTTATTCATTCTTTTTTTTTCAGGGAAAAAATAAAGAATTTCGTCCCACGTAAAGTGAATGAATATTACCGTCATAAGTTTACAAAATAAATGTAGGTGGGTGAATAAATTCATTCTCCAACTCTTCTCGAGGCTTAATCAGTGAAGTCATTACCGAAATTTAATTAGACGCCGCGCTCTCTCTCACTCTCACTCACTCTCACTGTTTTGTTTTTTATCGAAAAGAAGTGGAACCATATACGATGTAAAATTAAACTCTCGATACTGAAGTTGAAAGCAGTTAAGGCAGTCGTCGCCTTGTTGGAGTCATATCTGCGATCTCTTGGATTCGCAGGGAGGATTTGCGAGGAGCGGGCGTCCTTCGAGCGAAGATCCTCCTCCTCCTCCTCCTATCTTCTTCTCTTTTCTGTTGCTGCCGTTGCGTTGCTGCTGCTGCTGCTGCTGCCGAAACTCTTTCGGCTTTTTACATTCCAATGAGTCTTACAAATCTCTACAATACTTTGTAATTAATTTATACTTTCAAAACTAGCAGGGGAAATAATGTTTGAGATTTCTTTTTTTTTTAACCCTTTATTCTTTTCACAACGTGTGATTGTAATATTTATTTAAATTTGCTGATAAATTAAATTTTTTATTATGTATATTTTTCTTTAGGGACGCATGATTATGTTCTAAAAATCATTAATTAGAATTTTCATTTTATGGAATTTCATTTGTCATATAATTATATTTTTGAGACGAATTTTTATTTCTTCGAATTAGTATTTTGCAGAATTTTCATCAAAATCGATTTTCTAAATTGCAGAATTTTTATATAACCGAAAATTCACTTCACAGAATTTTTATTTGTTCAAATTTTTATTTAACATTTAACGTATTTTAAAGAATTTTTATTGGGTAGAATTTCATTGCATAGAATTTTCATTTTATTTTTTCAGATGAATTTTCATTTGTTCGAATTATTATTTGATACAATTTCCATATAACCAATTTTTCATACTAAATAGAATTTTTACTTAAGCGAAAAATCATTTAACAAAATTTTTAATTGATAGAATTTTTATTTCTCCGAAATTGCAAATGGCCGAACAAACATAATCGACAGAAAGATTTGGGCGCAATTTTTAAAATCAACCAATCACAATTTTATGGATAATTTTTGATTGGTTGATTTTAAAAATTGCGCCCAAATCTTTCTGTCGATTGTTTGTTCGGTCATTTGCAATTTCGGACAAATGAAAATTCTATCAATTAAAAATTCTGTTAAATGATTTTTTGATTAAGTAAAAATTCTATGTAGTATGAAAAATCGGTTATATGGAAATTGTATCAAATAATAATTCGAACAAATGAAAATTCATCTGAAAAAAAATTCTATGCAACGTAATTCTATACCCAATAAAAATTTATATGGCGGCAAAAATGGTATTTTCTCTAATTGAATTTTTTAAGAATATACTTTTTTTTTTTTATGAAATATTGATATATTCTGATACATAACCTTAAAAATTTCAAAACATAACCTAACATTTATTTGCTTCTTACCTTTCTTTGGAGCGCGATAAAAATATTTTATTTAATCAAATTTTCATTGATCAAAATTTTTATTTGAATTAATTTTCAATTGTTGCATAATTTTCAGTGAACCGAATTTCTATTTAATGAATAATTTGTGTTTAATATAATTTTAAAATAAATTTTTAATAAATCTCGTTCTTATTTAACTGAATTTTTATTTAAAAAATCTTTTATTTATCTGAATTTCTATTGAATTGAATTTTTAATCTAAACTATTTTTTATTTAGCTGAATGTTTAATTAATAAAAATTATCATTTTATCGATTTTTATAATTAAGAAAAACCAAAAAATCAAAATTTTGAAAATTTGTAATTCAAAAATTCCGGCCCTCATAAAATAAATACCAATTATTTGAAACTTATACAATTTAATTGACTCAAATAATAATTATTTGATACAGATAAATATTTATTTGATAATAATAATCAAGTAACCGATTATTTGAATGAAATAAATTTTTTTTTCATTGTATTTTTTTGATGAAAATGTTATTTAATTTTTTTTTTTTGCAGAAGAATTAAAAAAAAAAAAAAATTTTCGATTTACAGGTGGTGGACGAAATTCAAGTTCAACGGAAGGTGAGGGTTCAAGTGGACTTGCTCATTTAGGACCATTGGGCTCACAATTAGGACCAACGCCGAGTCGAAATAGTGGAACAATAAGACGTGGACCTGGTCGACCACGTTTACGACCCAATGGTCCTGGACATCAAGGACATCGTGGTCCAAGTCATTCGCATACGAAAAAAATTCAAAAACCACTACCAGTTCCAATACGATCTCATAATCATCATCAAAATCAGAATCATCATCATCATCTTGCCAATATTCAACCAAAACCGTCCATTTCTTCATCATCATCGTCACCAATAACAACGGCAGTGGCTGCCACCGCTGCATCGTCGTCCTCTTCATCGTCGTCGTCTTCGCAAAATTCCACAATGATTGGTGAATCTCGTCCCTTTGGCTTTTACACTCAACAAACGCCACCTCGAGGATCGTAGGGCTTGTTGTTCTAAAAATAATTTCCCACGATTGGAATCACCTCTAGTGTGAACTTTTGTGTCAAGGAGGATTTTTTTTTTTTTTTTTTTTTTTTGTATTTCACTGGAAACAAAAGCTAGACGGAAAACCGTGTTTTATATATAGTATATTATAAATAAGTCGAACGCTCTCGCGGATATTTAAGCAATTTATTTAGAGAAAGAATAAATTTTCAAAAAAAGCTTTTTTCAAAAAAAAAAGAAAATTCTTTTTTTGAAAATACTTTTAGCTTTAATAGATAAAAAGCAAATTGAAGAATTTTCAAATTTATTATTTGAATATTTTTTTATTATAGAAAAATATTTTTTTTTTTTTTTTTTTTTTTTTTAGTAATAGAATCGAGTGCGTGACGTTTGATAATGACACGAAATGAGAGGAATCAAGAAAAAGAGGGATCCTTGTACTATAGTACCTTCAAATGTAATTTGATCTGTTAGTGAAAAAAAAATTGTCTTTTTTTTTCTTCGCCATGCGACAAAAATCATTTTTCTGAATGAGATAATCGATTATATATATATATATGGAGCGAGTTGAGAACTGGTTCGCACGAGAACTTGTACGTTGAGAAATATTATTTTCTCTCAATATTTTTTTCGATTACTAAAAATAGAGTTATTTCGAGAGAAGAAAAAAGAAGAAAAAGCGATTAGATTGTTCTAATTTTTTTTTTTTTTTTTAACTTTGCACGTTGTACAAGATAATTACGCTAATTCAATTTAACAAGAGAGGATATTTATTGGTGATAAACCTTATAATAGATAATCTAGACCCCTCGCGCACATAGATACAAATTTTTAATTTACGTTAGTATTTTGAAATTAATCTCTAATGCAATACTTGTTCTCGAATAATAATAATAATAATAATAATAATTATAATAATCATCATAATTATAATTAAGTGTCCGATTTGTATAGGAATATCAATTTTATTTAAATTCAACTTCTCCGATGAAGCTTTATTTAATTTACACATTTCAATTGTATAATTTATTTCTTATAAATATTTTCTGTAAATAAATCGCTGTGAAGTCAAAACAAATATTGGTAATTTTTTTTTTTTAGAGATAAATAAAAATTATAGAATTTAATATAATAGGGAAATAAAAAAAAAATTAACGGAAAAAATTATTATAATAAAATTTTAATTAAAATTTTTGTTAAAAAGAAATTGGAATAAATGAAACAAGATTTGATTGTGGCAAATAGATAAGGATTTTGTTGAGTTAGTTTTTAGAATATTTTGCATCTTTGTTATATTTTTTTTATTTTATTTTTTTGCAAGAAATTTCTTGCATGGAGAATCAACCCTCGTACCATTCCTATTCCCCCCCCCCCTTTTGGTTGAATCGAATGGCACTCGACGAAAAGACTAAAAGAGAGCGAGATGACCCGACGTGCCGCGGCATACTAAAGACTTAAACGACTCTGCGAGAGAAGATGCTTCTTTCGAATGAAAAAAAGGATATATACACATTCGCACATCGTCCGCGTTCCATTGCGACGCCTCGTTTTATAGTATATATCCTTGATCCCGCGCTTATAATACATTAACGTTTAAAAGATTGCTTTTATATAGAAATTGTGTGCGCGTTTACCTTGTGTCCTCATAAAATGAGCTTCTTCTTTTTATAACAAAAGAGTTAACTCATTATTTTCTTTTTTTTTTTTTTTTTTTTTTTTTGTTTCAAAAATTTAATTTAAAAAATTAATCTTTTAATTTTATAGAAAAAAATTTTTTTTTTCTATTTTAATATTTTTTTAAATATATTTTTATAATTTAATTGAACACTTAGTTTTTTTTTAGATTTTATTTATTTTTTTACAATATTAAATTTTTTGAACAGATATCTTATATTTTCCAATTTTTTTTTTTTATTAATTATTATATTTATTTATATTATTATTAATAATATAAATAATATAATAATTATATTTATTTATAATTAATAATTAATTTATTAACACAATTGGTTAAAAAGAAGTGTAAATAAATTTAATAATTAATTTAATATAGGTACTTCTTTAATTAATTAAATTTTTTAAACAATTATTTAATATATTTTAATTATTTTTTTTAAAAAATTAATTATCATAATATTTATATTGAAGATGATTTAGAATTTTTGGAATTAGGAAAAAAAATAATTTTCTTTTTATTTCAATGACTCTATAATGCCAAAAATTCTAAATCATTTTCATTTTAAATAAAATTTGAAGAAAATCATGTAAAATGTTATTAAATTTAGTTATACTATATTATATTAATTATTTATTTATACTATTATTTATTAATAATTAATTTATTATATTTTTTTAATTAATGAAACATTTAAAACAATTATTAAATATTTTTTTTATATTAATTATTATTATTATTATTATTATTATTATTATTATTTATTAATAAATAATTTATTTTACTTTTTTAGTTAATTAAATTTTTGGAAAAACTTATTCAATATTTTTTTTTTTGTTATTATTATTTTTTTCATTCATTATGGTTACAAAAATATATTTTTAATTATATCTAATACAAGTTTATAAGTAAATTTCTTTTTAAGAAATTGACATTTATAATTATAATTTTTGCATTATTTATTGCATATGTGTTATTAATTAATAATTAATTATATTTATTTTATTTATATTTTTATTAACACAATTACGTGATTATGAGGGATATACATTTACGTAATAAAAATAAAGAATTAATGAAATAAAATATTATATATATAGTAATTAATTAATTATTGATAAAATATTAATTTGAAAAAATTCAATTAAAAATCCATTATTTGTTATAATTAAATTTATAATAAAGGAATGAATTCTTTATTAGGTAATTATTATTATTATTATTATTATTATTATTATTTTAATAATGATAATAATAAAATCTAATAATAATAATAGTTAATTGTTGGTTTTGTGACCTAATTTTGTTAATTCTATAAGACATAATAATAACTTATTAATTATTTAATATAGTAAAGTATTTAATTAGTTATTTATTTGTTATATAATTAATCAATAATAATTGCACTTACAAAGTGGTTTTTTTAATATTTTAAATCAAATTAATTTCCCGCCGTCAAGTGGATTGGTCATGTGAAGAAGACCAATCACAAAGCTGAGTTGGGCGGTAGCGAATATTGCGCGCGCGCGCACGCCATTCGCACATTTGTGCAGAGTGAGTCCTATGAAAAGTTTACTATTTATTTGTTAAAATTATTTGTTAATTGTGTGGTAATTTAGCAATTAGTACTATTGCCCAAGTTCAACAAGATTCAATTAATTGAAATTGTATGGAAACAAAGTGAATTATCCATTTTTTAGCCTTGTCGATGTCACTCATTAACTCTGGCCGGAAAAAGTGAGGTTAGTGTTACTCATTTTTTTGCAATTCAGGTAAGAAATTATTGAATTTTGTCATTATTTATAAAAAAAAAAAAACCAGGATTATAAGATGTTTAAAAATTACTATTGATTTATATAAAGTTTTTAATTCTGATAAAATGGTGATTTTGTGAAAAATGTACTTGGAGGGGGAAGATAGATTTTCCAGAAGTCAAACAAAGGATGTTTGCCACTTGTTTTTTTGTGGTTAAAACCATTTATTTCTTTATTTACTCTCAATTCGTTTTTTTTTTAGTTTATTTTTGATCAGCATATAACAATAATGTTTTATTTTATAATTAAATATTGACATATAATATATAATATATAGTATTTTATTTAATTTTCGTGATTGTCGTTAACGTTTCGTTTGAACTTTTTTTTTTTTTGCCATTTGTGATTGATATTTGATAAATTAACAACGAACCAATCAGGAAACCTTATTGACACATCAAAGAGAACATTTTCTTTTTTCGCATCGGTGAAGTGCACAACGTTTACGATTAATGCGATTCAGAATAAAAAAATATAATTCGTAAATATTTTCGACAAACTTTTTATTAATTTCGAATTAATTTGTTGATTTTTCCGTTGATTATAGTGAAATTATCTTTTCGAGAGAGACTATATCATTGTCGAGATTGTTTTTTTTTCTACAACTGTCGCGGGAGTAAAGTGAGAAAATATTCTTAATTAATAAGTTTAAAAAGATGTGTGAATTATAAAAAAGTTAATTTTAAATATTTCTTATTAAAATAGAACGTGCTATGTAATAATTTGCAGTATAATAAACGTTTATATATTGCGACAGAGAATGTTGGAGGTTATAGATATTCGGAAAATTTTATATCTTCATAACGTGCTTCATACCCTCCAGGTAAAGTACTTGTATTAACCTCTTTTCTATATAATTTTTTTCCAATTAAAATCGAGATAAAGATTGAAAAATGTAATATATAGTTGAATTTTCTTCTCAAATTATATATATTTTCAACATAACCTGTTTATTTTCTTAACACTGAAAATATTTTATTTATTGTTTACACATTTTTTTCATATATATATATATATATACTTGAAAATTTTGTATTTTTAAGAGAAACAACTTTTTCAATGATCAATGAAAAAAAAAGAAAAAAAATACTGTTGATAAAATATATAGAAAAATTGCATAAATGAAGGTTGTGCGAGTCTTTATAAATATTTAATAATTGGTATAATGATGTGGGTAGATGCGGTATTAATTCCCTTCTTGTCTTTCAATACTCTCACGATCACATAAATGTAGTATGTCTGGTTTTCTTATTTATAAATCAAATGATGTTCCTTTCAACAAAAGCATATGATGTATATTTACTTGAAAAGAATCAATCATAAATTGTAAACTTTCATGTATATATATATATATATATATATATATACGCAGTTTATGCAATGAAGTTATTAATAAGAAATAGTAAGATTTTTTTTTAAATTTCTCTCCAAGTTATTATTAATTAATAGCTAAACGAATATTATTTTTCACATTACTTAAATTACTATATTTAACATTTATACAATGTTTCTCTAATTACACTAATTAAAAATTATTAATTAATTTAGATTTATACGATAATTTATATGAATTAAATATATGTGTTAATTAAAGAATTTAATTTTTGACAGTTTTTATTTAATTATAATTTGTAAAAAAGAGAAATATTTAAATAACCGCATCTCTCTGAGGGTTTATATAAATTTTTACTATTTTTAATTATCTTTATCAATTGGTGATCTTTGTTCAGGATGTTTGAATAAATTGTTACCGGTTAGCAGGACTCATTGCAAATGGTAATAAAACCAGAAATATATATATATATATATACATATATATAGTTTCTGTTTCTTAACGCGATTTATCACACTTGAGTACATCCTGTGTATAGGAAAATCAACAAAAATTATAAAACTTTACATAAGCAATGTTAAATTACTCTATTAAAAATAATTGTTTCTCAATATAAGTAATATATTCTCTATATTGAAAATTTATTTCTTTCTATTTTACTTCCTTTTTTGATCATTTTTTTATTATTTTTTAAAATATCGAGTCATTTCAATTTAATGTGCCTCAAGTTCTCGAAAAATTCAAGTGAACAAAAAAATTTTTTTTTACTGCGATTTCAGGTGAGATTTTGACTTTTTCGGAGTAGGTTTAAACAATTGTAATGAAACTTTGGAATTTTGTTATATATAGTAAGACTAATCTTTAACGTAAATTTCAGCTTAAAATATTTGTTAGTTTACGAGATTTGCAATAATAACAAAAAATTTTAAACTGCTATATTTTCCGTTCTAATAATCGGATTGAGGTCTACTTTTTTTTAAAATGTCAAGGAAAATGAGAGGAATAAATCTCTTTCAGAACAATTTTTTATAATTTTACAACTAAAAAAATTTAAAAAATTAAATTAAATTAAAATTAAATTAAAATTTAAATTTATTTATTAAATTAATTAATTATATTTAATTTATTAAATTTAAATTTCTAAAATTTTGAGGCATGATAGATTCGGGTACAAGGAATCTCGCTGTTCTCCGAAAAATACATAATTTTGAGTAAAATTATTATAAAATGATGTTTAAAAAGTGGCATTTTTAAACGAAAATGAAAACAAAGATGGCGGCGCATACACAGACTTGAGTGTGTCATTCCTCCAGTAAACAGCGCCAATTCGAGCGAGTGGCCGCTGAATGAACTATAATATAATACAGCGAAACCTCTCATAAGACAATTTTAGTGGGGGGTTCTCTTAAAGCAGGTTTTTCGCAAGAGGAGAAATTGATGCGCAGTGACCGTTTGCGCATGGCGGTCTATTTCAAAATAATGTTGGAGTTTATTGAAAATTATGTTAGAAGAAATAAAGAGATGAATATAAAAAATAGTAGAAAAATTACAGAAAGTAATCATAAATTTCTTTCTTGCATTTTTTCCATAACCAAAATTAGCCTAATATTTATCCTATTGTGTTTTGATAGGTTTTGACAATTCATAATAGTGGTTGTTTTTTTATTTCTATTAAGTATTTTATTTATGTTTTATATTGCAGTTATTTTGTTTTTTTCGATTTAAAAATACATAGTATTTTAGAAGATATTTAATTGGGCTTAAAATTTTTGAAAAATATAAATTACCTCTTTAGAATTTATTTTATTACAGGTAAGAGATATGATAAGTAGTTTTTAAGTGTGCAAAGTATTATCTAACAAGGAAATATCAAACTTTAATATTTGGCTTTAATCTTTTAAATTATTACCATCTACCTCTAAAATAAAGTTATTTATTAGAAATTAAATTAATGAATTGTAATAGTTGTAATTCAAAAAAAAAAAAAAAATGAAACAGATAATCGATTCTAGAAGTATTTAAAAGAATTTATATAATGATGTAATTTGTATAATTATTATAAATGAAAAAGATAGGGTACAAATGTAACGAGAATTAAGTAATTTTTATTATTTGTCTCATAATATATTTAGAATTAAAATAAAGATCTGAGTTTCAACAATTTTCTTACATAATGTAATTTAAAATATTATAAAGCAACGTTTTAAATATATAATGAAAATAAATATTTTTAATGTAATTATTTATGAAGAACACATTTCATAACATTCGTATATTCTTTGACATTATAGCTTTGGAATTATATCACTATTGTTAGCATCAGAACTTTTGGAAACTTCTTCTTGAGATTTTTTCATAGTCAGATTCTCCCATTTCCGAAAGAGACGATAATCCGAAAGTGTATATTCATTTTTCTGTTTACACCAATTGTGTAAAATGTGAACTGTGGTGTTAATATCTTCAGAACTTGGAATACTGATACTGTTAGGCTCTATTGATTGGAAGATTTTTCTCTCATGTAACTTTTCCTTCGCAATGGTTTGAGGATTTTTTCCTGTGACAATTTCAATAATTTCGCAGTCGCTGAGTTGTTTCCATCCAGGCTCGTGCTGATCTTCAGATAACCATTCTTTTACCTCAGATCGATCAACTTTTTCAAGACCTATTCAACAATAAGAAAGTTATTGTAAATTTTAATTATAATAATCTTATAACAAAAACTTTGCTCTATAAACAAACATTTATGATACAAGTGTTGATGAATAAAGAGAGTGTAAAATATGTACGTGGGATTAGAGTGTCCGTAAAAAAGTCGACTTTCGAATTTTATTTGGACCACCCCCCAGTTCGTTTTCAATACATAGTGCCAGTAATCAATCGAAATTTCCCATTGAAAGTACACGGGGAAAATGCACTTTTTTTAAAAAAAAAAAAAATTCATAACTTTTTCAATTATTGAGCAAAAGATTTTTCAGGTCACAAATTCTTTTATTTTTAGCTACACTTTATGTTGGCATTTTTAAAAAAAATTAAATATTCAAAATTTTTAAAATGGTAGATGATCAAAAATAGGTCTTAAAAATGCATTGCAATGTAATCAGTGATTTATCACATAAATCCAGAATTTTGAAAAATTAAATTTTGCTATCCGATTCTTGACTAGAGACTCAAAAACCTCACGAATAAGAAGAATTGTTGTATTATTTTGAATAATTATATGATAAATCATTTATTACATTGCAGTGCATTTTCAAGACCTATTTTTGATCATCCACCATTTTGAAAACTTTGATTTAGAAAAAAAAAAACTAATTTAGAAATTAGTATTGCAAAAATATATTTCCATTTTATGAACATAAATGAATAAAAACGTAGGATATAATTTACCTTTAATTTTGTTGACCATTGCATGCATTTGGCTAATTGTTGTTGAATTGTCAGAATCATTACTATTCTTTTCCATTACTCTTGAAATTCCACGGAGCTTATTCCAAGCATTTTGTAAGTTCTCCTGAGTCAAGGATTGGAATGCCTTTGCAAGCATGCAACAGCAGTCTCTGAGGTTAAAAGATTTCATAAAGTCCTGAACAGCAATGTGGTCATTTTTTAATATTAACAATCTAAGTAGATCCTTTCGATAGAGAGTTTTTGCCTTTGCAAATACGCCTTGATCCATTGGCTGGATGAGTGACGTAACGTTGGGAGGTAAAAATTCAACTTTAAAATTTTCGTTTACATTATTTAGAATTTCTTTCGGTGGATGGCAGTTAGCATTATCGAGTAACAGCAATACTTTTCCATATTTTTGTGTTTGCACTTGCATGGCCTGTACTAACGGAATAAACTGATCTTTATACCAACTGAAAAAAATCTTTGCATTCATCCAAGCTGAGGCTTGATGTGTATACGTGACTGGTAAAGACGTAGTATAATTATTATTAAAGCAACGGGGTCTTTCAGATTTTCCAATAACTAGTAATGGTAGAGTGAAAGAACCATCTGCGTTTGAACAAAATAAAACGGTCACCCGGTCCTTTTTTAATTTCCAACCTGCATAAAAAAAATATTAAAATAAATTGTAACTATAAATATGTATTGGAGTCACTACAGAGAAAATTGCAAAAATTTTTTTGTCTATTAATAATTAATAAACATTTTGTGTTTTTTCTTAAAAGTTAGTGAATAATTTTAATTTTTATCCAATTTTTATTAAAAATAGCAACTCATTTTACTATATCTGAAAGATTCTCTATAATTCAGTTCGCGGTTTAATTTTGTTAATAAATGATTCATTAACAAAATATTAAATAAAAAAATTTTATTTATTTTATAACTTTTGAACAAATTTTTTTTTAACAAAATTCAAGAAATAAATTTGTAGAGAAACTTTTGGAGATTAAAATGAGCGATTGTTTATAAAAATTGGATACAAATTACAATAATTCCGTTGACTAACTTTCAAGTAAAAACACAAAATGTTACTTAATTATTAATAAACAACAAATTTTAAGTAAAAATAATTTTTTCGGAAAATTGTACAACTGGATCTTTCAAAATTGAGTGAAATACATTTTAAATATATTTTTAGTTTCCTTGTTAAAAACTACTTAGTTTGATGTTTAAAGATACATATATCCTTAATCTTTTTAGTTTAATAAATTAGGAATGAGTCGAGATTTCATGGAGATTTCACTTTAAATGAGTTTATAATTTCCATTTAAACTAAATTTAAAAAGTGTGAATTGTTTTGTAAGTTTTTAAAAATCATCACATTCAACTTTGCAGTTTTATAGGTTATAATTATTGCAATTCACGAATTTCAATATAATTACAAGTCAAAAAGATTAAAAACTACCAACATTTTTTTATATTAATTTATTAAAGTTAGAAAAACTGTGAAAATGTTAAATTAAAGTGTGTTTTACCTGGACAATCATAATCCTCGTTTGCTCCAGCTAGAGTTACTTCTGGCAGCCGTTTCCAATAAACTCCACTTTCGTCTGCATTAAAAATTAAACTCAAATCGCAGCCTTCCTCTTCAACTAAATTTTGAAAATAAAAGGCAAAACTTATGGCAGCATCAACATCCGCAGATAATTTTTCTCCTTTCATAGATAACTGTCTAATACCATATCTTTTTTTAAACGCATGCAGCCAGCCATTGCTAGCTTTAAAATTTTCCGAGCCGTTTAATTGTTCATTTAACACCAAAGCCTTTTCGCAAATCAGCGGTCCACTCACTGGTTCACCCGCAGCACGTTTCTCGTTAAACCACCTGATTAAAACTTTCTCCAAATCAGCATTATGCACTGGTTTTTTGACCTTCCTCTTTTGCAGGACTTTTGGACTTAAATTCTCAACATCTTTAAGGCTTTCTGAATTTTTCTTCAATCTACTAACAACCGATGGTGAAATATGGTATTGCTCAGCTATTTCTCTCAACTTATTTTTTGTACTTCCATTATTGAGGCTTTTTATAATATTAATCTTCTCCTGTAATGGAAGATGCACGTGAGTCTTCTGTTGCTTATTGCACATAATCAGTCTTTACACTTACAGAAATATTAAACTTTAAATATAAACTACATAACTGTGATCACAGATAGGGGTTTTTTTGCACATTTTTAGGCAGGTTATTTTCTGTTTACATTGTTAGCCATATGCTCCGCTTGACGCTACTGCGCATGACGCAATATATATCTAAAGTTTTAGGGAAGGGGAACACGATAGGGGAAATTTGTCTTATTAGAGGTTGTCTTATGAAAGGTTCGCCTGTACATTATTTTACTATTTATTGCTTTATTTTTATTATTTTTGCGTTAAGTTATGGTAAATGAGTAGAACAGCGAGATTTCTTGTACCAAACAAAATCATTTCTCCAAAATTTTAACCGCAAAAATCATTTTTTATTTCAGAGTAAGTTTCAAACCACAAAAAAACGTCCTTTGCCCACATACCCTTAAATTAAATAGTCTTTAAATATTAAAATTTTTTGAACAGTTTTTTAAAAATTGTAATTTATTTTTCACATTTAATTTTATTTATTCTTCGTTTTAAAATTTTAAAAAAAAGTTAGTTATTCAAACTTTATTACGGACTTATTGATTTTTTAAAAATCAACAATTTAAAAAAAACATGTATTGTTGGATAATTTTCATTTTTAATACAAAAGTTTTATTTTTGATAAGAAAACAATAAATATTTTCTGATGCTTGTATTATTAAATTAATCGTTTAAGTATTTATTAAAAAACAAACTATTTAAAAATAAACTTTTGAAAAATTTTAGGTATCTAAGTAAAAAAAATAAATAAAAAATAAATTTTGATTTAAATCCATAAAATCAAATTTAAATAAAAAATCATGGATTTTCTTGATTTCTTTATTTATAAAAAAAATTAAATAATTTGCTTTTGATTAATTGATTGGAGTGAAATTTGTTATAATTTTTAATAACTACAATTTTTTTTAAATGAGTTAATATTTTAGTATCAATTATGAAAATTTTTTTTTTATACACGGAGAAAAAAATCAAGCGAATGTAGTAGACCTTTTTTTTATATTAAAAAAAAAAATTTAAACAAAATACATTTTTTTAAGTATATAATGCAGATCTTTTTTATTTCAAATATTTAACAAATTTTTAACTGCTTTAAATTCTTCACTATACATTAATTATTTTTCATAATTTTAATGAAATTCTTCATAAATTCAATTATCTTAAACTATTTTTCAATTAAAATTTTTATGAAATTGAATAATTGTTTATAATTTTAAAAAAATTACCAAATAAAATTACCAAAAATTTTTTATTTAAAATCTCTTGAAATTCAATTATTCGTAAAAATTTTAATTATTTTTAATGATTTTTATAATAATCTTTGAAAATTCAATTATCTGAAAGCATTTTTCAATTAAAAACTTTTGGAATTCAATTATTTTCAAAAATTTCAATTTAAAAGCTTTTAAAATTTAATTATTTCTAAAATTTTCCATATAAAACTTTTGGAAATTTAATCATTTCAATTATAACTCTCCTGAAATTCAATTATTTTTATTGATTTTTATAATAATCTTCGAAAATTCAACTATCTGTAACGATTTTTCACTTAGAAAGTTTTCAAATTATTGTTTTTTTGTCTGCAATTTCTAATAAATTTTTTAGTAACAGAAATCATCAAAAAAAATTTATTTAAAAATCACTTGAAGTTAAATTAATTTCAAAAATCAAAATTGTAAATCTTTGAAAATTCAATTATTACTTTTAAAAAAATTTATCTAAAATTATTTAATTACATACTTATTTTTAGTTCTGTAAAATTTAATTATTGTAATATTTTAAAAAAAATTTTATTTAAAAATCTGTAAAACTTGATTAAGTATTGCCTGAAATTTTTTTGCTAAAAACTATGACAAAATTTTAAATTTAAATAAATTGCTTAAATCAGACTTGAAAAAATTATAAAAATGGAACTTTAATAATTTTTTTTTTAGAAATTTGCCTTACTTAAATAATTGTTAAATTTACTGTTTTATTTTACATTGACATTATTATTTTTAATAATTTATAGATTGAAAAAAATATTTTGTTCATTTGAACGTTCAAAACTTTTGGCTCATGAAAGTTTGTCTTACAATTAGTTTGATTCTGAAATATATTTGAAATAAATTTTCTTGATAATATTCATTATAGAATTATTCTAATTACAGAATTAATAAAATGAATTTAATATTTAAATAACATTAGTTATTTAAAGTAAAATATTGATTATTACCAATTAAATTTTGTTAAAATAAAAAAATCAACTTTTTCGACATTTTTAATTTATATAAGATAAAAAATAATTTTTATTTTTTATTATTACCAATTATTTTTATGCAATTTTGAAAATAAAGCCCTTTTTTCAGCATACAATCATGTGGTACATGATGATGATGATCTGCATAAAAAGTGATGATGCTCATTCAAAAGGAACACACGAAAATATTGGATGAAATGTTCAGTGGGCTATACCTGCAGCTGCTGATGAGTTACCTCACCATCTGCGTGATTGGATTTCAGTTAGTGGTAGTGGCGATGGTAAGTCTTTTATTTTCAATACTAGGTTATATATATATATATATATATATATATTAAAAAAAAGAAAGAAAAAAGAAAATACAGAGCTAGCACATCATTCCTATACATTTTAAAAATCGTTTACACGGTTTCGCCCCCTCGAAAAGCATTTCATCTGGAAAATTAGAGACAACAATATTCTCTCTAAAAAAAAGCGTATAAAGTTTCTGTTTTTCAAAATATATTCATAAAAGAAAAATATATTTACAAAAATATACTTTTACCTATGTAAAAAAATTTTAAAAACAAATTTCTTTTTAAAAAAATTTTTATTGAATTACAAAATATATTTTAATTAGCATAAAACTTATTTGCAAAAATTTTTTTTCTTTTCCAATGAAACTAATTTTAAAATAATTTTTTAACTTCGCAATAAGTAACAAAAGCAAATAACTTTTTAATACGGTAATTTGTTTTCTCATATTGGAAACCTTGTTTTGTATATTACGTTCATTTAAATTAAAGAAAAAGTTCCTTTCATGCTTAAAATTATAGTACGCGCGCACATACGATCCCGCATTCAGAACCAGCATGTTTTCATTTTTTATAAATTTCTTCGATGCAGAAGGTCTTCATTGAAGGTCGGTTCCGACAGATGATATGTATGCTAAAATTGAAACAAAAAACAGGATTCCTTATCTATAATTATAAAAACATAATTAGGAATTCATTATAGTACCCGGTAAAGAAAGTTCCAATATCATTGTTTTGCCACCATTGGCTATATTTTTGTTTTCAATTCGAGAATGGGAATTTTTTTTTTTTTCTTTCAAAACTGAAACAAATTTTCGATTTTATCTACTTGTGTATTCAATAAGAAAAAAAAATCATGCTGCAGGTGGTTATTGTGCGTAAAAATAGATTTGCTTTTAAATATTAATATTTTTTTTATTTCTTTAATTCAATTAAGATTCGTTTATTTTCATTAGAAATGAAAAATAATTATAATTTTTGAAGCGCTAATTATATTTTTCGATAATAATGAATTTACTTTTATTATTCATTTGCAGGGTGTTCAGCGGTCAGGGAATGTCAGGGAACTTTTCAAAAATTTGCCAAAAATGAATATTTTTATGAAATTTTAAAATTTTTCGGTTCAAGAAAAAGTTTACAATGGTGTAAAGTGGCCGCAAGTCAGGGAAAAACTGGAAATCAGATGTCCCTGAAGTTCTGAACGTTCAAATGAACGAAAAATTTGTTTACCACTGTTTTAACTTCAAATTTTATTATAAAATATTGGTTTCTGTATTCAAAAATACATGAATAATTTATTAAATTTTTAATGAATTTTTTATTTTTATTGATATAGTAATTTTTAAAAAATTTATAGACCAAAAAATTTATTTCACTCATTTGAACGTTCAGAATTTCAAGCACATAAAATCAGGGAAAAGTCAGGGAATTTTGATTAAAAGAAACCACAAATTAAAAAACTTTGATACATAAATGTCAACTCAGTTTTTTTTTTTTTTTATTTAGACATTTTTGTAATATAGGGTAAATGCACTAATTGCGGCGAGATTCGAGTCAAAACACCTTTGAAATAGAAAATTCGACATTTCTATTGTATAAACTCAATTTAAGACTTATTAAACTTAAAGCTTATGTTATTAAGATATTAAAAAAAAATTTTAACTCTATAAAAATCGATTATTTAAACAAATATGAGAAATTAAAACTAATACCGTAATTTTCTATTGCGGCGAGTTTGTATCAATTTCGGTGACCAAAATTACGTGTATTTTGAAGATACTTTGCCCGCCGAAATTGAAGCCAATGGAAATCTTAAAAATGTTTCAATTGCGGCGCGGAAAAAAATTTGATCTCAAATAATTAAATTAATAATTGTTTAAATGTGCATCTTTATAAGTATTTGTATCAAAAAAAGATTGAAATAATTTTTTTTAATCATTTGGCAACAGTTATATTAAATATAATAGTAATAATATTTATTTTTTATGAACGCGCCGTAATTGGTGCACTCGCCGTAATTAGTACACTTACCCTAGCTCATTATAAATGGTGCCGTCAAATTTTTCATTTTTCAAAGTATTTACTTTTTTTATAATAATAAAGTTTTAAATATAATAAAATTTTATTATTAAACAATTTTTAATTATCTTATCGTTTCCTTTATGAATAAAATTGTTACTTAAAAAGCATTATAAAAATTTTAATCAGCAATGCAGAATATTAAATAATTCAAAAGTTTTTTAGTCAGGAAAAAGACGGGGAATTTTGAAAATAAAATTTTGCGACCACCCTGTTACTTTAATTTTTGATACTTTTCATTTTTTTTAGTATTAAATATTTATTTAAAAAAAGTTGGAAAAAGGTTAGAAAAAAAGTCAGGGAATTTCAGGGAAAAGTCAGGGAATTTTTTTTGTACTTCTTGCTGGACACCCTGAATTTGATTATTTATATCTGGCATCACTTTTCAATTTTGGTATTTATTTTTAAGATTTGTCAACTTTTTTCCCTTTTTGTCATTAAAAATAAAAAATATTTTTTTTTTGTAAATATTTTAAATTTTGTTGATAAAATTCGAAATCAATTTTTGATTTTAACGCGTTTTTATTTAATAAAATTTTTGAAAAATTCCATATTTGGGAATAATAATATTCTTACTATTATTATTATTATTATTATTATTATAATGACCTCAATACCTATATATTATTATTATTATTTTATGTTTATTAAATTTTTAAAATTTGGTTCAAAATACAAATTTAAAATTTTAAAAAAAAATTATTCTTTACGGGACCAAAAAAATCAAATCATTTTTTCAAAAATTTTTGGGTCCACATAATACCTTGAGAAGTATTTCTCAAGGCTGAATTTGAACTGAAAAACTTAAAAAAAAATAATTTGACATTTTTGGTCCTGTGAAAATCAATTTTCGGCGCTGAGAGTCGACGCCAAAACTTCATGGAGGTTTAATTTTAAACAGTTGTGTGTGTGTGTGAAATTCAATACTGAAATTTTATACAAAATTTTTTTTTTTTTAAATCACAAGAAACTGCAATTTTGTAAATAAAAATATATAAATATATTTATATATACACAAAAATACATAAAAGTTTTGTAAAATTTAGGAAATCAATTTTTCCACATAATACGTTTTTTAAAATTAACTATTGAATCAATTTATTCGAATTAAGTTTACCGCGAGCTAATTAAAAAAAAAAAAAAAAATGACACCATATAGTTTAATTAGCGGATATTTTTAGAACAAAAATTTAAACCAGATTTTCGGGCACGTGCTCATTAAGTTGATTTTATGTGTCCTATTAGGTAGAAAATAAAATGATTTTCAAATATTAGACAGCAAAAATATGACAGTTTTATGAATTTCAACACATTCTTAATAAGTTCCAGATTGGTAGGGGGGATTTTTCTGATTCTTTAAAAAGGAAAGAGGTGGCATTTGTGAGTCTTGTTGACAGAGCAATTGGTTGTGAAAAAAAAAAAAAAAAAATTGGATCTTCAAATACGTTCAATATGGTGACCGAATTTTTATATTTCATAGGTCCACACATATTTTATGTGTAAAATTATACATCGGGACATTGTTTACCTAATTATGATTATATTTAATAATATTAATAGTTAATATATTGTATTAATTAATTAATATTAATATAATATATTAGAGTGGTCCTAATTTTTATCATTCCCGGCAAAAATTTTGTTCTAAATGGAAAAAAAGAGATACGTATTTTTTTATTTTCATTTTAATAAGTATTTAATGATATCTCAAAGCCCTTGAATTTTTACATATATTTTGTATAGGGAAAAAAAACAGATTATTCTTTCAGATATATTAATCTCTAAGATTGTATAAAAAATATTTTAAATAATTTATTCAACAAAATATTGTTATTATTATTCTCAATATATATACTTAGTGAGCTGCAGAAATTAAATAATTTTACAGTATTTTACGATTAGAAAAATTGCTAATCAGATCTAGCTATCGAATATAATAATTTTAATGAATATTTCAACAATGTAAATGTATTGTTATTTATGTGCCGCGTAATTTTAATCTTTAAATGTAAATTATTAAACAACTCTGAAAATTATATTTAAAAAAAAACATAGTTAAGTTTTCATTTATTTTGAAAACGTCAATTTGCAAAATTACGAAATATAATTGCTACAGCTCTCTAGATGCTGAGAATATTAATATCAAATAATAACAATATTTTGTTTAAAAAAATATTCAAAATATTTTTTTATACCTATAATAAAAAATAAATAAAATAAGTCATAATAATAATAATACATATTTAGTTAAGAATAAAAAATTTCAGTAGAGAAATCAAATAAAATAGTAAGCAATTTTAAGGAGGTTCAACCCATTAACATAACCTCAAACTAAAAAGTAGTTTTTAATAGAACTAAAAAATATATTTAAAATTTATTAAATCCAAATTCAACAAATCCAATTGTACAATTTTGGAAAAAAAAATATTTTGAGTTAAAATTTGTTGTTAAATAATAATTAATAAACATTTTGTATTTTTTCTTATAAGTTAGTGAACAATTGTAATTTTTATGCAATTCTTACAAACAATAGTTCATTTTTCTTTTTGAAAGATTTTCTACAATTTTGTTTTGTTGAATTTTATTAAAAATATTTTGTTTAAAAGTTAATAAATAAATAAAATTTTTATTTTTTATATTTTTGAAACAAACCATTATTTAACAAAAACACAAAATTAGAATTGTAAATAATCTTTTAAAGAGAAAAATGATCCATTGTTTATAAAAAATTGAATAAAAATTAGAATTGTTCACTAACTTTGAAGAAAAAATACAAAATGTTTATTAATTATTATTTAAGGCCATGTGAGATATATCCATGTGAGCCCCATGCAAAAAACATGGTATTCATATAGTTCCAAAGTTTTCTCTAAAATGGTAAAGAATTTTTGGTTGAAATTTGGAAAATA